TTACACTGTGAAGCACCTGCCTGTTTATGTAGGATAGTGGAATACTATCCAGTTTACACAGTGGAGTACTGTCCAGTTTACACAGTAGAGCACCACCCTGTTTACACAGTGAAATACTATCCTGTTTATACAGTGGAGTATTGTCTTGTATACACAGTGGAGTACCATCCATGCATGTCAGCAAGCAGAACATAAATGTGTGCATCTCTTAGGTTGCAGGTCAGATATGAGTTCTCAGCCTGCAACAGCAAATACAAGAGTTTGTGGATTATGATTGTTTATCTATGGGTTCAGAAATCCAATTACTGCTTATCTTTCTAGGAGATCATTAGATAAAGACATTTAAAGGCTTAGAGTGTACTAATGATATGTTTTATTTGATTCTGTGGCTAGGAACATAGATTTTTCTCAAACTGTAAAAATAATTCTAGAGAAATAGTTACCCCACAGAAGAGCACACCAATTGGTTATCTGATATCAAATGCGCAGTGCTGAAATACACATAAAAGTAACATTGTATAGACTGAGCAGGTTGTGTGTGTGTGTGTGTGTGTGTGTGTGTGTGTGTGTGTGTGTGTATACATACATACCAACAATATATCAACATATATATATATATATATATCAACAATAAATAAAAAAGAAGTTACTAATTTTGAAAGAGCACAGAGGTATATGCAATGTTTTGAAGGGAGAAAAAGGAAGGGGGAATTGTTGTAATTATATTAAAATTTCAAAACATAAAATAATTAATAAAAAATAGTTTCACTGATATATTTATGGCCTAAATATTTTCCTGTTTTATTTTCTTATTAAATAAATGGTAAATATTGTAATTGAATTGTTTATTTCAACTGAAGTAAACATTCAAATGAAAGAAGAAATTAATGCCAGAATGTAAAGATGGAAATACATAGGACGAGATGGACATACAACGAAATGTAACAGATGATGTGAACACGATTTGTCCTTAGCAGAAAAGAATAATAAAGAAAAGCCAGGGTTGCATTCCATGAGATTTCTAGCATGTATGGAACACTTACTTTGAGAAACATCAATCAAATGTGTAGATTTGTTTGGCTAGATTTGGTTTTCCTTACTCTGTGATTAAATATTTCTAGAAATGTAGGCACTGACAACACAGTCTAGGAAGGAAGGAAGCTGCTAAGATTGCAGAGAGAAAACAGATATATTCTGAGAAGTGTGTGTATTGGACAGTATCTCCAAGGACAATGTGGATGTTTTGGTGCATTTGGAATGGTATTACTCATGTTTTTTCGGCATGGTAATAAAACAAGAATTCCCTGCTACACTTAATGGTTTGAATCCTGGTTCAAAAATTGCCTGACACTAGATTCTTATTAAACTGCGGAGTCTCTTGGAGATACTAATTTTCCCTATGTGTAAATTGGGATAACCCTGGTACTTATGGGGCTTTTATGAAGATGGGACCTCAGTTAAATAAAGGATGCCTAGAGAGAGTTTGTCACAAGTTGTTGATGGCTATTTTTTTTTATCATCTTTGGTTTTAAGTTCCCGAATCAATAGATACACAATGAGGCATCATTCATATGACATGAACCCACAAAGCTATTCATACATATCAGAAGTCTGTTTTATAGATACTGAGCCTAGACCTATGGATAACCTGGCTATATATATCAGAGTTTCTACTTAACCTTATTTGTCTTAAGCTTCATTCTTATTTCTTTTCTTACCTTGTACAAAATCAGAATGCATTTTTTTTTAAATCTGGAATCCTCAGCATCAAGTATTCTCTTGGGTTTTACTTTTAAATTTTTCTAGTGATTGAAATTGATTGATGGCATTTAATAAATTATTCATAGATCCACTTAAACCCTTCAGTAAAAGGTGTCTGACAGTAATTTAATGTTTTATTATTGTTGCTGTCCTGTGCAAAGAAAAACTAGAATCCTCCAGAACTTTCAATTTTACAAACTCTTACTCAACTTCTGACCAATCTTTTGTCAGAGCTGAAAGTCATTTGATTGTAACTCACCATGTGAATTGAGTGTATATTGATTGCATTGCAACCTCTGAGTTTCCTATCTATGACAGTTTCCATTAGTATACTGTCCAGTAAACTACTGGGCTTCCTCAAGAGAAGGGTGGAAGTCGTAATTACTGTCATTTTATTTCTGAGGAAACTTATGCAAGGGGATTAAGGACTTCCTGGAGATCATATAGGAGATCAGTGGCATTCTTAGGAGTGATGATGATGATGATGATGATGATGATGATAATAATAAACCTAGAACATCCAGCACCACAACTCATTACCTCTCAGATATAGGATATACAATGATGCCTCTGTTGAATCTATTCACAGTTATTAGTACTTGAGTGTATAAACATTTTATGAGAAGAGAAAAATAATGACCAGTATTCAAGATGGAGAAAACCTATTTCTATTTCGAAGCTTGTTTAACAGGTTGAGAGCTTAACAATTTACTTAACATACTTGTGCATTACTTTTGATTCTGGTAGTAGTGAGCTGTGTCTTCATTTATGTCCCTTGCCATATGCCAACAGTTGTAAAAGCTGCTTGGCTCCTAATACTCTGTATAGGACACATTTCCTAAGAGAGAAAGCAAAGGAGAAAAAAAGAAACTACTTTCAGTTGCTAAGAAGGAAAAATTGTATAGCTCAATAATTAAAAATCTAGCCTCTGGGCTGGAGAGATGGCTCCACAACGAAAGAGCAGACACTGTTCCTGAGGAAGACCTGAGTTCAGTTCCCAACTGTCTGTCACAACAGCCCCACAGGGGACTTTCACCTCTGTCCCTCACAGCCACTGTCACCAATGTGCTCATACACAACCCCACACGAACATCCCCTGCACTCTCTCCACACACTCCCCCCACACATAGACACACATACACAAACATATATGAATAATTAAAAATAAAATGAATCTTTAAAAAAAATTCTAGCCTCGGGAAGCTTAACCTTTGTCTTCAAAGGAAATGGAATGAAAAATGAAAATGTGCTGGAAATATGAATACACATTGATAAGTTTTCTTTTGAATAAGAAATAGGTCATTTAATGAATGCTTAATACATGTGAGGCTTATGCTAAAGAATTTAAGGAAACCACACCAGAAAGCCTTACTGTTGGTTCTACTTGCTGTGTTAGATGTCCAGCCAAGGCATCCTAATCCTGCAAGTCTTAATGACACCAGGTTGAGAGCCTAGGTTAGGTTACTAATAAGCTAATAATAAATGACAGAACATGCATATAGATACTTTGATTTGTATTTTTGTTGGTATTTTCTATTTACCATTGTTTTAATTTTTTAAAATAACATGGCATCTCTATGTAGCCCTGGCTGGCCTAAAACTCACTATGTAGACCAAGCTGGCCTCAAACTACCAGAGATCCTTCTGCCTCTGCCTCTTGAGTGCTGGGATTAAAGGTGTGCACAACCTCACCTAGCCTAATTTCTTTATTTAATTTAGCTAAGCTTTTTTTGTGAATATATACTATTGATCCTGTGAGTAATATTTTTACTATTTGAGCCTAATATTCAGAAAATCACAAAGCTTTCTGATATTCCTTTCCCAGCTGTAGATGCCCATTCACCTGAATCCAGAAACACTTGCAAATGTCATATACTCTATGTAAATAGTCTAATAAGAAACTTCAACAGTCATGTTTTGTCAATTTTAAAACACCCCCCTTTTCCATCTACATACACTTACTACTAGAAAATATCTGGAATTCAAGTGTGTATTTATATGTATGTGTGTTTGTGTGTATGTGCAGAAGTTCATGGTTGTATCTATGTGTATGTTTGTGTGTGTGTGTGTGTGTCTTCTCTGTGTACATGCATGTGTCTATATATGTTATATGTGAGTGTGTATTTGTATGTGAGTATGTTTGTGTGTGTGTCTGAGTGTGTATGTGTGTGTCTGAGTATGTGTGTATGAATGAGTGTGTGTGTGTGTATTGCTGGGACTGGACCTGGACCTAACTGTTTGACAATACAATTGAAAGGACAGCTTTATGAAATTTTATGGTCTTTAAAGTATCAAATCATTTTCACTTCAAGATTCTTTTTTTTCCCTATCTGATAAAACTGACAGATTCTAGGTGCCGAGGCTGAGAATTTGGTGGTGTTAGAATTTGCATGGTTTCCTACCAAAGCCTCATTTCAGATGCAATGGGAAGATGCAATTTGCATGCTGTTAAGAATGTAACATAGCCACGGAGTGCTATCATGCCAAAGCAGATGATGTTTGCTGCTTGAGCAGCACCTCTAGCCCTGGTATGCTAATAAGGAAGGATGCCCTTCATAAATCCTGCCCTTTACTCTTATTCTTCCATGGGAACAGTGTATATGCTAATGTGGATCTGAATTTTTTGCACGTACAAAATATACGTATAGTCTATAAGTTTATGTAAGCATATGCTGTAATTGTTTATGAATGTATGTACAGTGTTTAAGGATATATATATATATATATATGTGTGTGTATATATATATATATATGTGTGTGTGTGTGTGTGTATACACACACACACACAAATACACAGACATAGATAAGTAGACATAGTGTCATTTCAAGTAGATTTTGTTTAACTTTGTCTTTTGAAGTGTTCTATTAATATAATTAAAAGTATATGAAGAATATGCATTTTTAATAAATGTGATGCTTCAGATTCAATGGTAATCATTTTTAAATTTGGATATATTAGAAAAATAGTAGCAGGTTATTTTATAGTAGAGGATTAAAATGTCAGACATAAATGTCTACCTTTCTAACCTCAAATGTAACTGTATAGTTTGAGAGCAAAAACTTGAAATTGTGTAGCTTTTTCCATTGGAATCCAATAAGAAACTTTAGATTGGATGACTTAGGCTCTAGGTACCTTGATTTTAAGTGAAATCTTTGTATATGTGTCCTGTAGTGACTGCTTCTTCCTAAGATGCTGCCTTTGCAGAGGAAAGATTTTAAATTGAATTACCACATTTCAGGCTAAGATGACTCAACTGCCTGAGGCAGAGAGGGAAAAGATTGCCGAGCAAGTCGCTGATTTCAAGAAGGTGAAGAGCAAGCTGGATGCTGAGATCGAGATCTGGGACGATACAAGCAATGACATCATTGTTCTCGCCAAGAAGATGTGTATGATCATGATGGAGATGACGGACTTCACGAGGTAATTGAATGGGAAGCGATGTGTGACAGCGGGTGATGACTGCATGTTTGCCACATGGCTGAAATTTCCAAGTTTCTCCGAGTGGCAGGGGAAAGGTAAACAAGGAATTAGAAAGTTACAGATGTACAAGTCCAGAACCTTGGTAAACACAGCACCATTTCTTATGAAGCCATTACGTCATACTCTCTTACCTTCACACTCTGCAGCAGGGATCACACTGTTTCATGCTAACACACTGTATGTCCACAGAAATGGATAACTTGGGCACGTTCCCTCTGAAGCTTGTGAGTGGTTGATACCTTTTGCAGCATCATCAGAATTTGTGGCCCGTGGCATTCCTGAAATTGCAAATGATGTGTATTTGAAACCCCAATTCATAATGATGGCATTGCATATATATTCCAGAAGCAATACAGATGTTTAAAAATGTTTTGGGACTTTGTAGTAGCACAGTCAGACTGACCCTGTTTTCTGTAGAGTCACCATGGCAGTCAGACCCTGTACATGTATCCTGAAAACTGAAGAGACTTCAAGGTCCTCATCCCTTATCCCTGCCTGCTTAGGTGGCTCTGGGATGCTCACTTAAAAATGAGAATTTCCCAATGAGTGAAAAACTGATGCATGTCATCAACCTATTGTAGCTTGATAAACAGGCCTCAGACCCTTGTTTTCTCCATTTTCTGGTACTAACTGCTTGTTCCTTTACCCCCATTCACTGACCCTAGTTCAGTGTGATGGCAGGGAGGGAGAATAAAACTGTGTGAGAAATAATCCAGTTTGATGCTAAGAAGTTGTAGTGACCCAACTTTAAAAGGCTACCCCACAGGAAAAGAATCAGAAGCCCAGACTGAACAAAATGAAGAGAAAAAGGTAATTGTGGAAATCCTTGAAGAGGAGATGGCCACATGTGAACAGGCACAGGTTACTGAGCCCAAGGTCAAGGACCCCGAGTCACTTGCCCAAGACACCTACCTTCCTGTAGGATGGCTTTAAGCATGTCTACTCAATGAGGGAGCCCTCTCAGTGGCACTGACCTATTTTGGGAGCACTTTGATGAAGATGTTGGTCTCTGTGGTGTTGTGAGTATGCTTTTATGAAAATTTCCCTTAATCCTTCATGGGCTGAAACCTACTTACTGGAATATTCCAGGGAGTAGACTCCTGTCAACATCACTCTATGCAACCAATGAGAACAGTTCTATGTCTGGGGTTTGGGTCTTCCCAGGCCAAAAATTTGCCTAGCTGCTGAGTCTGGATTGAAAGGTGGACTATGAGTCCTATGTATGTGGAAACTAAATCCTGACAGTGAAGAGATACCCTTACCCTGATTCCAGAACATATCTCCTGGGAAGGGACTTTCCAGTATGTGAGCAAGTTTTCAATAAAGGCAAAATCTTCAAGAGAACATCTCTTGCAGTTGCCTAGCTACCTACACTCATCCTTTAGGAAAATGGAGGTCATTAAGGGAAACAGAATGTTGAAAAACAGGTTGTAAATGTCTTCACATAATTAACCAAAGAGCAGCAAGATGTGCAATGCTTCTCTTACCAGTTGCTAAGGAATACAAAACTGAAACAAAACTTACTTAGTCTTCATGTTGCTACTAGAACCACAGAACAGAAAACTACACTGTGACAGACATGTTACATGTATGAAACTATTATATCACAATGCACTCACACAAAACAACTTTATAATAGAATAATGAATAAGTGCAATTTTAAATCATAATTAAGTGGTAACACATAATGCTTTTCAGTGGTAAGATTGAGAACAAGTTTCCAAGTATTAGACCCAAGAAGTAAAAATTTGAATGACCTAAAAATTCTGTTTCAATCAAAGGTTCTAAATAATACTAAAATGAAAATATAACATGGTAGACATTGTAACAAGGACTAGCTACCATGTGTGATTCTTTTATAATAAATGACAAAATAGATATGCACATAAATCACTGCTTTTAAATGACTTGATTAGTAAATATTTGAAGATAATTCATGCAAAAGTAAGTGATGTAATTGTACAGTTGTTCAAAATCTTTTAAAAAGTCAACATAGAAAGCATGGTGTGAAAAGAACATGTCAGTAGATGCCTTCATTTGGAATGTAGTATATGCTGAAAGCCTTTGTCATCTATGAGCCCTGTTTCTGGATCTGTAGTTCACTTCAGGTACTATGTTTGCAAGGAATAATCTGAAACAAGCCTTTTTAAAAATTAATTCAACCAGTATTATTGGTTGATTTTGTTTTTATTTAATGTTTAATTAAATTTGGTCTTAGACAACTTTACATGCATACACAGTGCATGCTGACTGCTCTCACCCCTCACATCTCTCTCTCCCCTGTGTATGCCCCTCCTCCCCATAAGTTTCTCCCTGACATTCACATCTGCTCCATCTGCTTTGTTAACTGAGATTAACTAGGACTTTCTCTGTGGGTTTAGAGTGATCTGTTGGAGTCTCATGGATTGAGCAGTGGGTATGTAGCTAAAGACAGTGACTCCCTTCTTTCAGCAAGGGGCAATGAAGATACTGAGTGTGACAGTCACCATATAGTCACTCTCCACACTGCCATCTATGTAAAAATAGGATGAGATGCTGGATAAAGATGAGTACACCAAAAATAAAATCAATTCTTTAAAAGGATTTTAATGGGATGTAAACTATTCGATGAAACAGAAAAGTACTCTGACCTACATTTTGTGAGATGGTATCTGGGACTATTCTATCCCTATTCATGCTTTGTCTTGTTTAGTATAAAAATCATCCTTTAAAACAGAACTTGGTTCCATTTTGTATTCCACTGAAAGGAAATCCACTTTTCAGAGCTAAAAGGGAGTGAAGATGCCACTCCAAATGTCATTGGAAAGTAAGAAAATTGAACTTACATTATACATAGCATTTCATTATGAATGTCCTTTAGTTATCAGTTTCTATTTTTCCCGTTTAAACTCTTGACAGTTTTTTTTCTAGTCATAGCCTGTAGCTTGATAATACCCTCTCTTTGCTTTTCATGCACAGAATAATTGAGTTTTGGTCTATGCTTCAGTGTCTGCAGGCAGACATTCTAACAATCTCTTTATCTCAGTGTCTCTCTGTCTTCCTCCATCTCTTACCACGTGCATCTTTAACTCTTTCTCCCCATATCTTCACTTCCCCCAGTCATTGATCACACACATATATACAATATAGGCATGTATGTAGTTTTCCATAGAAACCAACATTAGTCCATAGTATTAAGCAATAATATATTTTGAAGTTTCCTCATGGATGACTTAATCATAATTTAAGCTTTCTAAAGTTTGCTGATGCTGTATGACAATTATGGAATCATTTTTGAAAAACAGTTTCTAATTTAGTTTGGATTGGCCCCAAAGCTAGCAACAGTTAACTAAATTTCAATTATTTCATATAAACTTTCCACACATTAAGAGGGGATTAGCTTCCTGTCATCAAAATAACTCTTTTAGACACCCAGAATTTCACCTTTATAAGATGTACAAAAGAATGTACATTTAAAAATGACCTTGTATCATATTGTCTTAGCCATTGTTCTATTGCTATGAAGAGACATCATGATCATGGCAACTCTTGTAAATGAAAGCATATATTCGGGGCTGACTTACAGTTTCAGGGGTTCAGTCCATTATCATCATGGCAGGAAGCATGGCAGCGTGCAGGCAGACATGGTGCTGGAGAGGCAGCTGAGAGTTCTATATCTGGATCTTCAGGCAGTAGGATGAAAATGACTCTGGGCTTGGCATGGGCTTTAGAAATCTCAAAGCCCAACCCTATTGACACACTTCCTCCAACAAGGCCACTCCCTGGTGACCAAGCATTCAAATCTATGAGCCTATGGGGGCCATTCTGATTCCAACCAGCACAAATGTATTCATTAGATTTCAGTAAATCCGTTGCTTGTCCTTTGACACGAGCGTGTGTCTATATAGCAGAGATTGAGATGCTGAAAATACTCCATGGAGAAGGTATTGATGAAATGACACCAGATAAACACAGAAGAAAGCAGGGCCCAAACAGAACAAGTGCTGCCATGCTGAGCGCAGGTCTGGTCCATCGTACTTCGTAGCTTTGATGCTTAGAAACACAAAATCGAGGGGATCAAAATTAAGAACTTCCGTGGACTTTGACTTTTGAGGGAACAGGAAATGTAGGACAGGTGACCAGCGATGCTCCCCAATTTGGGAAATACCACTAACCTCCAAGAAATGACAGAAAAATCTAACACATACCAAACGTATTATCCTCACCGCTGCCCAAAATGTCAGCCATTAGAAAATGAGAAGTTCATTATATGGAGGGAAAAGAATGTCCTTGGCCTTGGCACCCTATCCAAGAATGGGAAAATTCCTGCTCAGGAGATGCCAGGAGAATGCAAGATGGCGTTGCAGGTGAGAATCCAGCTCATCAGATATCCCATTCCTCTATGAAACAAACACAAAATTAAAAAATAATACTGATGTACAACAATCCTAAAAAAATCAAAATTTAGAATCCTATCTTCCTACCTCCTTCTATTGATAGGAGTAGGTGTGGATGTATATCTTATAAACACATATTAAGAAAATCAAAATAAAGAGACATGAGCCAGAAAGAGGTGGTGGAATGAAGGCTACAATGATTTAATAAAAGTTAGGGGAAAGTGTTTAAAAGACAAAAAAAATATTTAGTGACAAGTTATCAAGCATCAAAAGAGGAAAAGAATCAAAGAAAAATTTATAAGGCTCATTAAAAAAGGAAAAATAAGACATTTAACCAAACTGCTGTGTGCAACTGGATAAACTGGATAAAATGTCTGTGAGCTAATGATAATGAAGTAAAAGATGAGAGGGAAAGAGGCTGAAATGACATAAAAGCAAAGATGATCCCAGCACACATACAATTAAAGTTTTGAAGACTAAGAATAGAATAACGTTTAGAGATAAATCAACATTTTCAATGTATAAAATGAAACCTCAATTTGCATATCAGAAGTCTTACCCATA